GGGCCGGGGGGGTCGACCAGGGCGGAGCGAAGGAGGTCGAGCGAAGGATAAGCTTAAAAGTGCCGGGGCCTGGGGTGGGGGGGCCTCGGGGAGATGGGTCACGGGGGAGGGCCCGGGGAAGAGAGGGGCCAGGGGGAGGATGGAGTAAGACAAACGAGCTTTGAACATGAAGAGGCGCAGGGCCAGGGAGGCGTCGCAGGGGGAGGCGCCAGGGGGGATGGCATGGGACTCCCCAGCGATCTACTGTCGTCGCCGCCGCCGCTGCCGCTGTCGCCATCGTCGTCGTCATCGTTGTCGTCGTCGTCGTCGTCGCCGTTGGCGACCCTCTCCTCGCGCGGCGTCCTTTGCTGCACCCTTCCGCCCTGAGGATGCTCTTCAAGAGCGGCAATATCCTCGGCGGGTCGCTCGTAGGAGCCACCTTCCTTTCGGCGGCGACGGTCAGGGGGGGGCAGTCTCAGACGGCTCGGAAGTCCCCTTGCCTTCTGAGAAGCTTTCTAAGCCTTCCCCGAATACACAGAAAACCATCTAGAAGGCCCGAAGCCTTCTGAGAAACCCCGCCCTTCTCACTCCCTCCCCCTCGCTCGCTGATCCTTGAATGCTCGGTTTCCTAATGGCCACGCCTGAGAAGGATTTGTGCCACCAAGGCGTTTCCTTTCCTCCCACGACAAAGCATACCCCCCGTACGCCGTACGAGTACACCTCGATGAACATTGCGTGATGCAATCGGGCGGAGCATTCTGGCGAACCGAATATGTGTCTGTCTGTGTGTGCGTGTGCGTGTGGAATATCGAGTATCGGGCACAGCATTATGCTCGATACATGGTCGCTCCCAGCGCCTTGAGGCACCTTTAAACCCGCTGCGTGTAGCTGATTCGACTCCCCCACGGCCTTGCTACCCCCTTTCGCCTCCCCCTGAGACATGAAATGGGAAGAGACATGCCATGCAATGAGGCCTCTGAGCTTGTGTGTCCGCGGACACCTGGTTGTGGCTGGGGGGGCGTGGTAGAGATTGCACACCCACTCTTCGGCCCGAAGGTTTCGCCTCGCCTCTTGCTGCCCACGAAGAAAACAACAGCTTTCCCACATGGCCATCTTCGATTAACCGTCCTACACATGCCTGGCTGCGCATGGTGATTGTGACAAAGTTCGAGTGACAAGGCACTCCGCATTTGTCTGATGACTGCTCTCGGGAAGGTGCAATTCGTTTGATAATTGTAACGACTACCAGTGGCGACAGCGAGGAGGATAATATTTGACCCGCGTGCCCGCCTTCTTATAAGCATCCTGCGTCCTCCGGATCGCTGTGCATGATGACTGTGACAAAAGGCCGAGTGGCAAGGCACTCTTCAGGTGTCTGATGACTGCTCTCGGGAAGGTAACATTCGTCTGATAATTGGAGCAGCCGCCAGTGGCGTCAGCGAGGAGGATGATATTTGACCCACGTGTCCACCTTCGCGCAACCGTTCTGACCATTGCTGCGCATGACAGCTGTGACAAAAGGCCGAGTGGCAAGGTACTCTTCAGGTGTCTGATGACTGCCCTCGGGAAGGTAATACTCGTCTGGTAATTGCAGCAGCTGCCAGTGGCGACAGCGAGGAGGTTTCTATTTGACCCACGTGCCCGCCTTCTTATAAGCATCCTGCGTCCTCCGGATCGCTGTGCATGATGACTGTGACAAAAGGCCGAGTGGCAAGGCACTCTTCAGGTGTCTGATGACTGCTCTCGGGAAGGTAACATTCGTCTGATAATTTGAGCAGCTGCCAGTGGCGACAGCGAGGAGGATACTATTTGACTCACGTGTCCGCCCGCGCAACCGTTCTGACCATTGCTGCGCATGACAGCTGTGACGAAAGGCCGAGTGGCAAGATACTCTTCAGGTGTCTGATGACTGCTTTCGGGAAGGTAACATTCGTCTGATAATTTGAGCAGCTGCCAGTGGCGACAGCGAGGAGGATACTATTTGACTCACGTGTCCGCCCGCGCAACCGTTCTGACCATTGCTGCGCATGACAGCTGTGACGAAAGGCCGAGTGGCAAGATACTCTTCAGGTGTCTGATGACTGCTTTCGGGAAGGTAACATTCGTCTGATAATTTGAGCAGCTGCCAGTGGCGACAGCGAGGAGGATACTATTTGACTCACGTGTCCGCCCGCGCAACCGTTCTGACCATTGCTGCGCATGACAGCTGTGACAAAAGGCCGAGTGGCAAGATACTCTTCAGGTGTCTGATGACTGCCCTCGGGAAGGTGACACTAGTCTGATAATTGTAGCAGCTGCCAGTGGCGACAGCGAGGAGGTTTCTATTTGACCTACGTGTCCGCCTTCGCATATTCACCCTGCGTCCTACAGGTCGCTGTGCATGATGACTGTGACAAAGGCCGAGTTGCAAGGTACTCTTCGGGTGTACGATGACTGCTCTCTGGAGGGAACAGGTGTTTGATGGAGCACGTCAGGGAATGCATTCCTCCTCCATGGAGGGGCTTTTTGTTCGTGACGCTCATCATTCGTTGGTCGCATGACTGCGCACGGTGGCAGCTCTCAAACAGCGTGGAGGAGAGGCCTTCCTCCGTGCTTGCTGTCCGATCCTCCGTGGCGCGTGCCCTTTTCCAGAGTCCCGAGTCGTGAAGCGACGACAGCAGGCACATAATGCAGAGCCCGCGCGCTGTGCAATTGTTTGACTGCCCCTCTCTCTGGGATGTGCTAGATGAGTAGTAGCTGGAGGAGCGACGGGTGGGGGCGAGGTGAGCGAGGATGGATGAGGAGGAGCAGGAGCAGGAGGATGACGAGGGAGGGAGGGAGATGTCATCTCTGTCCGTGGCGCTTCCTCCCTTAGCTTTGAATGGAGAGATCCCCCCTTCCCCATCTCTCTCTCTCTCTCTGTCTTCCTACAGCCAACCCGCATATTCTAATGACGAGCAACTTTCCAAGGTCACCCTTGCATCCTTCCCCTTCGGCCCTTCCCTGGCCGCTTTCACTGGCCGCGCCCCGCTCGCAGAGTGCCGAGGTTGCCTTCCAACGCCCTGGCATCCTTGTCGTGCGTCGTCAGTGCACGGGTTGACTGTGCCGCGCCTCAGCGCTGTACGCGTTCATCATACCCTCGGTGAAGATGGTGCTGCTGATCCTCGGCGAGGCGGCCCCCCGACGGGCCCCGGGGCCCCCCAGGAGCGCGGAGAGAGGGGCACGAGGCAGCGCCCTTTGTGGCCGCCCGTGCCGGGGGGACCCAGATTTTTCCGAGACAGGGCGCTCTTTGGTGTAGGGGGAGCGTCGAGGGAGCAAAAATCACCCCGACCCCAGGAAATGGCGCTTGCTAAGCTGCACTGGGCGTTTGCTGAACAGCCCTGCCCTGTTCGATTCCCTCCTTGGGTGCGTTCACTACATGGCTGCGCTTGTCGGGGTGCTTCTTCTGAGGGTGGATTGTTTGCACCCTGGGAATGGTGGGGGGCGGCTGGAGGTTTTTAGCGCTTCGCGGCCTCCCAGGGCCCTCTTTGGGCCCAGGGTCCGTCAGAAAGCGGTTCAGGATGAAGAACCTGTCCAGGGGACAAGCTCCTGGGCTCCGAGACCCGTTTCCCTCAGGACCTCTTTTTTCTCATGCCTACCATCCGGGGGACAGAGTGCGGACGGGGGTAATTATGCAGACTTCCCATTTTGGCGCGGGCTCTCCACGCGCGGGGGGAAGGGGGAGCAGCAGGCTGGGGGTCATGATGGCCAGGAGGAGAAACGGACGAGGAGAGGAGGAGGAGGAGGGGGAGGAGGAGGATGAAGATGAGTACGATGATGGCGTTGGTGACGCTGATGATGTTGACGAAGTTGTTGTTGGTGATGAGGAGGATGGCAGGTTGAGGCGATGCCCTATTCCCTCCCTCCTTGCTCCTCCCTCCACCCCCTCTTCCTCCTTCCTCCCTCCGGGCTCCTCCCTTTTCCCTCCAGGCTCGGCCCCTAGATTCTTGCCGGGGCTCCCAGGTGTGGCCTCGAGGGGGGCCTCCAAATCCCCAGAGCAGGACGAGGATGCGCTTCACTGGGCACGGCCAGTTGACCCGCATGTTTCTTTGATTTTCTGCACGCCGAGTGGTGGTTTTGCTGCCTCGATGTCGGGTGGTAGGCTCGAAGCTCCAAGCTCGAAGCTTCTGAAGCTCGAGCTCGGCTACCTCCTTCCGTGTACCCCCCCCGAAGCTCGAAGCTTCTGAAGAGCATTCTTCTTGATACGAGTTCCAGATAAGGCCAGGCTTTCCCTCTTTCCCGTCTCCCCTCCTCCCCCCGGTCCTCCGCCTCTTCCGCTCCCCCCGCCCGCGCCCCCTTGCACTGTGGCCCAGTATCTGTGACTATCGGCCACCCTCTGCCGCGGTGAGTGGGCTGCTCCTCGAAGGGCCAGGCGCGCCTCGGGCCTCCGAGGCCATTGAGGCGTGAGGGTCCCCGAGAATACAAGAGCCCCCAGCTTCAATGACACAGTGAAGCCGTGGCCTCACTTAGGCCTCCGTCTTTGGATTGGGGATCATAAGCCTGGGCGGCTGGATTCGACACCTCTGCAGAAAAGACCACCCCGGTCCCCAATGTTTTTGGCCTCCTGACTCAGGTCCCCTATTGATAATCGGACGAGGGGGAGGAGGGGGGCGGCAAGGGCTTCGCAGAGCATCCTTCTCCCTTCCCTACCTTCTCCTCCCTGCCCCCACTTTTCCTGTCCCTCTTCCCTGCCCTCTCCTCCGGCGGGCGCCCCCCCTGCGCCCCCAGCAGGGCTGGGGCTTCGCAAGCGGGGGGGGCCGAAACGAGCCCGTTTCGCGTTTCCTCCCGGCGCCCCGGGGCGTGCTCCTGCTCGGCGTGGCCTTCCACCTTTCCGTCTGCGGTGCTCTCTTGGCACCCCGAGGGGGGGGGGCGCCCAGAGAGTGGCCCAAACGCCCAGCCTGTGGAGCTGCTCGCACGGCCGCTGAGCCTGTGTGTCCACGACCCCAGTGCGCGAGCGCATCCAGACTGGCTGCGAGGCTCCCTGCTGGGCGTGCCCTCCGTCGATGGGCGCGTTAGTCACGCAGTCCGAGCCTCGGCAGGAGATCTCGCCTGCTGATGCGCCCGCGGCCCTTCGCGGTATCCCGGCGGTGCCGCGACCAGCCGGTGGGGGGAGGCGTGCGCACTGCAGCCGCCGCATACAAGCGTCACCAGGACGGTTCCGATTATGCTGGCCTGGGCCACAGATCACGGGCAACGATGGGGGGGAATAGACATACGGCATAGGGAGGGATGCATCGAGCCCCAATCGTCCATTCGTCGCCGATAGGGGCCCGATAGCCCCAACCTGTCCAGACAGGTGCGGATGTTTGTCGCCGATGTACTGGCGATCCATCGCCGATTCCAGGTCGATGCACTCCCCCTATGCCAGTCCCCTCCCTATCGTTGTCCCTCGACAGAGTGAACTAGGAGGACATCTTCGTGCCGCCCTGCGGGGCCACGTGGAGACGCGACCGAAGAGACGCAGCCCGTACTGTCCAGGAGTGGATGAAGGTGCACGCGAGTTTCGAGCGGGACGTGTGTGCGCTGTGGCAGCTTCCGCAACCATCTGCAGCTGCAGGGACACAACAAGCAGCGACGAGGCCTCCTAAGGGACCACGACTGGAGTTGCACAGTCTGGAGAGCTATAACCTACCCCGCTCTCACGGCGAAGGGTCGCCGGCGCCCAAGTGGGGAGGAACCGCCAAACAATTCAATGTGTTCATGGATTGTGCGCCACTCGCGGCGGCTTTTAGCGGACGCGCGCGCGCGCCTGACGCAGAACTTGGCAGCGTTGGTCTCCACAGTCACCTCGAAGCTCTTTTGCGTGCTTCGGCGCTGATGGCTACCAGAGCAGGCGTGGACAGACCCCTTCGCTTGGCGACGCTGGTGCTACATCAAAATCACAGAACATTTGGTCAACCACACGATGGCCAGGCGACGTTTGTGGAGCCAGCGATACATATCGCCAGCGGGCGGCTTGCGCACGAAGGGGGCCAATTATCTCATCCATTTCATAGGGGGGGCCTGCGGCGTCAAGCTGGTATTCTTATCCGGCATGCATGGCTTGGATCGTCATCGAAAGACCAGTGTCGTCCCTCAAAGCTGAGGCCACTGCCTCAGAGATCGCAGCCGACATGTTCACCACTCTTACCACTTCTGGCTGTTCGTGACAGCAGACATGGCGTGATGCGGCCGGTGCGACAGCATCTTAGGCTCAGGAAAGAGAAAGAAGAAAGGGATGGCCATAACGCCACCAGGTGCGTTGGGCCCAGGGACTGCCTACCACCAAGGACAAAGATCAGATGCTTCACGACGACTGCAAAGACGACGACGAGTCACGAGCGATGGCGAGGGACGATGAAAAGTGACGAGAGCGCTGACGACAATGCTCGCGACGAGGGACGAGTGATGACGCTAGACGACGACGAGGGGCGAGCGGCGAAGAAACGTGGCGACGTCTGCGAAAGACGTCTCATTATCGGAAGGCGACGAGGAACGACGAAGAATGACGACGACAAAGGACGACAATGAGTGACGACGACGATGGGAGACGACGACCAGGAGCGAAGACGACGAATACCGACGACTGCGACAAACGACCACGGCGAGTATCGACGACAAGGACGAGCGACGAGGGACGGTAAGAGACGCCGACGATGACGGCGACGACGACAATGAGTGACGATGACCACCGCGAAGGACGATCGTCAGAGGACTCACGACGATGAGGGACGACGGCGAGTCACCATCGATGACGAGGCATGACGAAGTGTCAGGACGTCAAATGAGGACGATCAGCGGCGACGACGATCAGCGACGACGACCTTGAGGGACGACGATGAATACCGACAACGGCGACAAGCGACCAGGACGACTAACGACGACGAGGAAAGAGGGATGGTGAGCGACGCCGACGACGAGTGACGATGACCACCGCGCAGGACGACTGTCAGAGGACTCGCGACGATGAGAGACGACGACGAATCACGAGCGACGACGAGTGACGACGAGTAGTGCCGAACACAATTGACGAGCGATGAGGTACGGGCAACGACGAGTAACGAGGACGGCGACCACGGCTACGACGTCAACTGACGATGACGATTGCTGGTAATGGCGACAATCACGACAACAACGACGATGACTGGTGACAAAAGACGACGGATCACGATGCCGGTGACGGCGACGGCAACGACGACAGTCGAAGACGGTGGCAACGACGGCGAACGGCGATGACGAGCGACGACGACGATTAACGACGTCGACGAATTACAACAACGACGAGTGATGGATGGCGACGATTGCCGACGATGGCGCCGACGAGTCACGACGGAAAACGACGACGGTGTCGACAATGAAGAGTGACGTCGATGACGGCGACGACGACAATTGACGACGACGAGCAATGCCACGATGAGTGACGGCGATGATGGCGACCACGACGAAGACCACGGCGGGTGACAAGCAACGACCATTTTCGACGGAGACGGCGGCGCTGGCCACGACGTCGGCAACCGACGACGACCACGTGCGCGATGGTGACGATTTGCGACGACGGCGAGGAGGACGACGGCGGCGGAAGCGACGGCGACGTGGCAAGCATGACCCAGAGCGATGCCGACGCCGGCGAACGATGACGACGAGGGATGGATTACGACGACCGATGGCGACGATGACGTGTGACGACGACGACCACGATCAAACCAGCAAGGGTGGTGCTGCTTACAACGGGCGACGAACGTCGATGAGGGAGAGTGACGGTGAACCACGATGACAACGAATACGAAGACGACGGCGAAGGCGTGGACCGGGGCTGACGGCCAAGGGCCTCGCTCTGCGGGAGCACTGCTTGCCCATTGTTCGATCTGTGTAGTTTACATGTCGACGGAGAAAATGGAGCGTAATAGTCAGCCAAGCATATCGTCGGAACAAATTTGCAACTCTGCGAAAGTGAGCACCATGTTTGGAAGTGATTATATTCAAGCACATCCCATCGCCTTCAACGAAATCAAGGAATTCCCCGGCAACAGCAACACGTAACGCAAGCAAGTGCAAGCAGACCCTTCTAGAAGTTCTTCGGCGCCATCTTGGCACCTCCCTGGACCTCCCAGGGTTTGTCGACCCCATCTTCCCCGAGGGAGAATATGGCCCCCGCAAAGGGCACGAAGATAAAAAGGTGCGAGGGAAACGACTCTAGGGCGCGAGGGATAATCAGACGGGCACCGCACTCAGGTTAAAGTGGTTGAGGTGTTGTGCGTCGTTGCGTGGGCTGGACATCACAGCCTGGTGCTTTGGCTCTTCGGGATTCCAGAGATTCCGCCATCACGTAGTGATCAGAGGTTGGGGGGCGATATCGCAGTGGAACAGAGAACCCCCTATCAGGAAATCGGTTTCGATTTTGTGTTCGTGTCGTTAGTACAAGCGAGGCGCAGTTGCGTGGGCTCGCGAGAGGAATGACGTCGCCGTGGCGGGGGGCTGTGGAGCCGGTTGTCCGCCCCCTCCCCCGCCTGGCGCGCGGTGGCGTGGGGGGGTTCCGCCGGTGGCGCGGTGTTCCCCGTCGGTGTCGCAGGGTGTCCCGACGGTGGCTTCGGGTGTCCCGCCGTGGTGTCGATGGTAGCTCGTGGGATCAGTTGAGTGGTCGATCGAGAGATCGATAGTGAGATCGATTGCGTGGTCGATCGTTATCGAATCGTGAGGTCGATCGTGAGATCGAGAGATCGATTTGCGAGATCGATAGTGAGAATGATTGTGATATGGATCACAACTGATCTTTGGCTGGGGGTGTCCCGCCGTGGCTGGGGGTTCCCCCTCGTGGTGTCCCGTTGGTGTCTCGTGAGATCTCTTGTGATACTGATATTGGGATCGATAGTGAGATCGATAGTAAGACCGATAGTGCGATCGATCCAGAGAGCGATTGTGCGATCGATCCAGAGAGCGATTCGTCGTGAGATCGATCGTGCGATCTGGTGTTAGATCAACAGTGATATCGATAATGATATCTGTTGTGATATCGGCGCTGATATCGATAGTGATATCGATCACAACAGATATCACGATCCATGTGCCGTGTTCGTCCTGGCTTGCCATCCTTACTTGCCTTTGATATCGGTCTGGCGCAACTCGTGAGCGTAATTTCCGTTGTGGTGGCGTTTAGTTGGCCCGCTGGTGTCCCGATGATGTCTCGGAATTGCCCCGCTAGTGTCCCGATCGTACTGAAAGCCATTCGCTTTGAGATTGTTAGTGAGATCAGTTGAGAGGTCGATACTGATAACGAAAGTGAGATATATTGTGAGACCGATCGTTCGATCGATCGATAGTGAGGCCGAGTGTGAGATCGATACTGAGATCGATAATGACTTCGATAGTGAGATCGGTAGTGAGATCAGTCGATTGGAGTCGAATGAGAGGTCGCATTTGCGTGGTGTGAGTTCCATCGCGGCTGCCTTCATTACAATCACCATTATTCATTCACACCATGACCGTCATCATGCAATGTCGCCATCTCATCGCCATCACAGTCATCGCAGTTGTCAGTGGGTTTTCCTTTCCCCCCAAACCTCCTGGTCACCCGAAAGTTGGCCGTATAGGTATGATATTATGAGAATGGCACGCCCAGTGACCTTGACGACGCAGGCGACGGCAATGACACACGACAAGCGCGCACTGGAGGCACCGGGAAGAGGCTGGAGGGAGGAAGTAGGGGGGAGGAGGAGCAGGAGCAAGTAGAGGCAGCAGGAGCAGGAACCTGGAGCCACCTGGCGCCCGCTGCCGAGGCCTGGCGCGGCAGCTGGCCGCGCAGGGCGCGTGCGTGCGTGAGGGCTGTGCAGTTCGTCTCGAAGTGGGCGTGCCCGGAGCCGCCTCCCGCCCATTGCCGCAAGGGCGCCCTCGAGGGCGCGAAGTTCTTCGCGCTTCGCGGTTCGGCTCCTCATCCTCGTCCTCCTCGTCCTCCTCGTCCTCCTCGTCCTCCTCTTCTCCCCTGGGGGGCGGCGCGAGAGCGCAGAGTTACTCGCGCAGCGCGAAGCGCGAAGTTAGGCGCCCTTGTTGCCGTCGCCGCCGGTGGTCGCCCGAGACCGCCGGTGGCCGCCGCCAGCCGCCATCGAGCGCCTTCGGCGGCTGCCAGGTGGCCATGGGCGGCCCTCGACAGAGAAGCGGGTCCAGGGCCCGTTTCTCGTCTCAGGGCCTGGCTTCTGCACAGCCCGTTGGATCTTCGAGCATCGAGCTTTACGCCGTGCGCTTCCTTCAAGGGAGGACGCACCAGGGTCTATTTCGATGGGATTGGTCCGACTCGATGTCGCTTTCGACCCGCTCAATTCGATTCGATTCAGATGTTCAGTCGATGCAGTGCGGCACGATGCTCGCATGGTGTTGTTGTGCATCCTGGCGCCGTCGATTCGATTCGAATTCGATTTCGTACAGATGCAGCCCAGTCCGACGCACATTCCGATTTTGATCAGGTTCCCCGATTCGGTGTTGACTGATCCAGCAAGCCTCGAGCTCATCCCTATATCCTTGTTTTCACATGGCCATAGCAATGGCAGTCTTAGGGGTGCGCCCTCAGAAACTGAGCTGATACTTAATATCGGCACCGACCGAGATCACAGGATCCCCGTCCTGAGGATAGGGATATGTTTTCGGCTGTTAAGATTCATATTCATTCGAAGTGTTTCCCTCATGGATGCCAAGCGTGCCCTAGAGCAGACAAACCCTGGAGAGGGGCCCTCTGGGCGTCGGGGGACCTGCCCAGCAGAGCCTGGTTCAACAGCTAGCTCTGTTCCGCAGAGCTTGGTTCAGCAGAGAACTGGTTCCGCAGATGTTGGTCCATCAGAGTATCTTCACAACGCAGACGGTTTCCACAGAACCGGTTCGACACACCTGATTCCAATTATCCCGTAGCATAGAACAGTTTCTCTAGAGCAGATTTCACAGAACCGGTTCCGCACAATAAGTGCCCGAGAACCGATTCTACACCATCGATTCCACAGAACCAGTTCCGCAGAACCCGTGGTGCAGATTTGGTTCTCTTCAAGCGGGACTGTGGCGCGGGGGCCACGGATGGGGGAAGACACGACGGTGAGGATGGATGAGGAGGATGAGGAGCAGGAGGGTTAGGAGGACAACGGGAGCAGGACGAGGAGAAGGATGACCAGAGTAAGCTTGGATGCGTCCACGATGCTGCGATGCACACTTTCGGCTCGACCCCCGCCTCATAAGTCCCTGCATGCTTCCGTCTCACTACAGGAGGTGCCCTGTTGAAGAACCACCACCCGATCGGCCTGCTTTTTCGGGGAGAGCCTGCTTCGAAGAGGAAATGCTGTGCGTCCTTTCAGCGAAGGACATGTGTGCGAGAAGTTGTGATCAGAAAGATCGAAAGTGCGCCAGTGTATCTCCTGAATACACTAAGGGGGGGGGGGGGGGGGTTCCAGACCCCTTTCCTCCTTTCCCCCTTCAGGGGGGGGGGGGGGGGGCTCGCCCCCTCCCCTCGCCCCCTTAGGGGGGTTTGGGGGTTCCGAACTCCCCCCCCCTTTCCTTGAGGGGGGGGGGGGGGTCCGGATTATCCCCCCCCTCCTTCCCCCCTTCAAGGGGGGGGGGGTCGGACCCTCCCCTCCTCGTGTAGGGAATACGGTGTTGGGAGTAAGGAGTGGTGAGTAGTGAGTAGTGAGTTGGTGCGTAGTGAGTAGTGGGTACTGGGTAGTGAGTAGTGGGTAGTGAGTGGCGAGTAGGGAGTAGGGAGTATGGAGTGGGGAGTAGTGAGTAGTGAATCATGAGTAGTGTGTACTGATATGTGAGTGAGCAGTGAGTGGGGAGTAGTGAGTAGTGAGTATTTCGTAGCGAGTAGCGAGTAGTGGGTACTGAATAGGGAGTAGGGAGTAATGGGTACTGGGTAGTGAGTAGTGGGTAGTGAGTAGTGGGTGGCGAGTAATGATTCGTGTGTAGTGAGTAGTGCGTAGTGCGTAGTGAGTAGTGAGTAGTGAGTAGTGAGTAGTGAGTAGTGAGTAATGAGTAGTGAGTAGTGAGTAGCGAGTAGTGAGTAGTGAGCAGTGAGTAGTGAGTACTGAGTACTGAGTAGTACGTAGTGCGTAGTGAGTAGTGAGTAGTGAGTAGTGGTGAATAGAGAGTAGTGGGTAGTGGCAGTGGGTAATGAGTAGTGAGTAGCGAGTAGGGAGTAGCGAGTAGTGAGTAGTGAAGAGCGAGTAGGGCGTAGTGACTACTGAGTAGTGAGTAGAGAGTAGTCAGTAGTGAGTAGTGGGTAGTGATTAGTGGGTAACGAGTAGGGAGTAGCGAGTAGTGAGTAGTGAGTAGCGAGTAGGGAGTAGGGCGTGGGGAATAGTGAGCAGTGAGTAGTAAGAAGTGGGTAGCGAATGGTGGGTAGTGAGTAGCGATTGGTGAGTAGTGGGTAGTGACTAGTGACTAGTGACTAGTGACTAGAGACTATGTAGTGACTACTGAGTAGGGAGTAGTAAGTAAAGAGTAGTGATAGTGAGTAGCGGGGAGTGAGTAGTGAGTATTGACTAGCGACTATGGGGGTAGCGAGTAGTGAGTACTGAGTACTGTGTAGTCAGTATTGTGTAGGGAGTAGAGAGTAGGGAATAGCGAGTAGCGAGTAGTGGGTAGTGAGTAGTGATTTGTGGGCAATGAGTATTTAGTAGTGAGTAGTGGATAGTGGGTAGTGGGTAATGAGTAGTGATTAGTGAGTAGTGAGTAGGGAGTAGTGAGTAGTGCTTCGTGAGTAGCGAGTATTGAGTAGTGGGTAGTGAGGAGTGAGCAGTGAGTAGTGAGTCGGGAGGAGGGAGTAGTGAGTAGGGAGTAGTGAGTAGCGAGTAGTGGGTGGTGGGTAGTGAGTAGTGGATAGTGAGTAGTGAGTCGTGAAGAGTCCGAGAAGGAAATAGTGATACATTGAGAAAAAGTATGACGCGAATAGCGAGTTTCAGTAGTGGGTAGTGAGTAATGAGTAGTGACGTGACTTGGTGGTGGGTCAGCTTTGAGCTTCGCAGTCTGGTCTTAAGCGGCCGTTTCGCTCCCCTCGGTACTCAGTATATACCCTTAACCCCTTCACACCCCTCCCCTACCCTACGTCTCCACACCGACGGTGCACACCGCTCGCAACCAGCCCGGCCGTCCCTCACGCAAACCGACTACCCCCCGTAGGAGCCTCAGCGCTGTGTCGCGGGTGCGCGAGCGGGCGCCTAACGCCCCCGTGTGAGTAGGATCTCGTCACCGGCGGCCGGCGATGGACCGACAAGGGGGGGAAGGGGGGGGTCGGACCCCCCCCCGCCTTTTGAAAGGGGGGGAGGGGGAGGGGGTGTCCCCGACGACGGGTCGTGGAAAGAGCGGGAGGGGGGGGGGGTTCCCCGACGACGGATCGGAGAGGGGGGGGGTCCCCGACGACGGATCGGGGAAGGGGGGGGGTCCTAACCCCCCCCCCTTGGGGAGATCCAGCGGCGCACCCTCAGATCAACGAAGTGTTCAGCGAGGGTCTTATTTTGGAATTGTCCCAACACCCGTCCGTGTGACTATTTTGCCATGTCACGTCTGGTCATAAAGTTTGAGGAAGTCTGCAGCGGGAGCTCCATTTTGGAAAGGAAGAGGCCTCCATCTTCGTAGCTGCTGCAGACTTGAAGACGAATGTGCGCTGCGCTGACACGAGAGCCGCATTGAGAAAGCGTCTGGCCCTCCATCATTGAAGCTGTTGCACGGCGCAGCGCCGAGTGTGCGCGGCGCAGAGGCGATATCCGCATTTCCAGCACGACCTGCCCTCCATCCTTGGTGGTGTTTGCTCATCTGAGTGCAGGGTGGTAGACCGCATGGAAGTCTGAAGCGAGACCCCTGAGCCGGCCTCCAGACACGTCTGATGGTGCGAGGGGGGATGTTGCCGACATGGGAGAGGGATGGGGAAGGTGGGAAAAGAGAGCTTTGAGTCGCAGGGGGCGAGGAGGGGGAGGAGAGGACAGACGAATCCTTTCCGTTTTCTTTTCCGAGATAGTGGTGGATGCGCCGTGGTGCAATCTTTGCACTCGTCGTCGTCGTCGTCGTCGTCGCCACTCTCGTCCTTAACCTCGTCGCCGTCATATTTCTAGTTGCGGCAGGTAAGGAGGAGGCGGAGGAGGATGAGGAGGAGGAGGATGAGGAGGAGGAGGAGGAGGAGGAGTGTCTTGGCTCATTTCTCCACTGCTGTGCCAACGTTTTCCATGCATGGTGTCGTAGCCGCATTTCTCCTTGCGACCTCGAGTACGTTCAGGCTGACGTCCATTCCGCACCGTCGGCTCTAGGACAGGGGTGGAGGAGAAGGATGCAACACTGTTCCACTGCCGACCTGCTTATTGTGTGTGCTGTGTGTATGTGAGCGTGTGCGAGCGTAATCGTTACCACAGTCGGCTTGCTTCTTGGTGACGATGACAAAGGTAGTCGTGACGATGATTTTTGATGATTCTGACGATGATGATAATGATGCTGAGGAAGAGGAGGAGGTTGATGAAGAGGATGGGGATGGTTGTGATGATGTTGCTGATGTTGAAGATGATGATGACGATGCTGATGACGATGATGATGATCATCATACCGACAATGATGGTGATGAGACCGCTGATGCTGGTGATGAGGATGCTGATTTTGACGATGATGATGCAGATATTGGTAAATGATGGATATGGCGATGGTGATGCTGACGATGGCGACGATGATGATGATGATGATGATGATGATGATGATGATGATGATGATGATGATGATGACTATGATGATGATGCTGATGATAATGACGATGATGCCGATGCTGGAAATGATGGTGCTGATGCTGCTTAATTTGCACATTATGATGCTGCTGATGCTGCTGATGCTGCTGGTGATGACGATGACGATGCTGATGCTGATGATGATGTTGCCGATGATGCTGATGATGATGCTATCACTGCTGATGATACTGCTGATGCAGATGCACATGATGATGCTGATACTGAGGATGCTGATGTTGATGATGCTGATGCTGATGATGATGCTGATGATGATGATGATGATGATGATGATGATGATGACGATGATGATGATGATGATGATGATGATGATGATGATGATGGCGACGATGATGATGCTGATGATGGTGATGCTGCTGGTGCTGCTGCTGATGATGATTATGATCATGGTGGTGGTGGTGGTAGTGGGGTTAATGAGGAGTGGCATGAGGAGGATTGATACTGAGGATGGCGATTGTGATGAGGCGAAGGTGGAGCCAATATTGCTCTGGGAGTTTGAGACGGACGAGACTCGGGGGGATGATGGGGGGGAGCAGGATAATACAGTAATTCTTTCTTTCTTTCTTTCTTTCTTTCGGAGGAGGAGGAGGAGGAGGATGCAATCATAATTGGAGGAGGAGCGCGGGGGGAGGGAGAAGAGGAAGAGGAGGCAGAGGAAGAGGATGATGCGAGACAGCTCTAGGTGGAGGAGGCGGATGCAATATCTCTTTGGGATGAGGAGGTGGAGGTGGAAAGCATGTAGACGGATGATGCAACAATGCTGTGTTGAGTGTGCAACCATGCCCTGGGAATAGGAGGAGGAGGAGGAGGAGGAGGAAGAGGAGAAGGAGGAGGAGGAGGCAGAGAGGAGCTGGAGGAAGAGGAGGAGGAATGGGGAGGATGAGGAGGATAATCAAACTTAGAACGTTCAGGGAGAAGGAGGCCCTCCGGCTCGGAAGGACCTCTTCGCGTACGTCCTGCTCCTCCACCTCGTGCGCGCGTTGCCTGTCCACTGCCACCTGATCGAGGCCGCGGCGGGGGGCGAGCCTAAGATGAAGGCAGGCTGAGGATAATTTCGTATGAGGATCCATCGAACATCTCTTACCCGCGGGTCTGGAGGATGTATCGTGCGTGGCGGCTGTTTTAGAGAAGTCCAGAACGCTCTGCGAGCGTTCCGCAATGTTGTGGAGCGATTTATCCAGTTGCCTGCTGCAAGTCCGGCCACCGTGCCAGCCTGGCATTCTGGATTGCAACTGTTTCAGGGCAGGAGAGCCGTGATGAGGATGAGGATGAGGATGAGGATGATAATGATGATGATGATGATGATGATGATGATGATGATGATGATGATGATGATGATGATGATGATGTTGGTGATGTTGAT